GGGCGCGTAGAGTTTGGAATCGGCGGGCGTGAAGAAGGTATTCGGTCTTCTCAGCGTGGAACGAGGAATGCGGCGGGGCTCTGATGCAGCGATTTGCACCAAAGAACGTATGGGAGCGAGATAGAGTGAATGTTTCGTGGGTTTGACATTTGGTATGCGGGGATGGCGAGTGGGCATTAGAGTGATGACTGGTGAAAGCCAAAATTTCTCGGAACGTTGTGGGGCTCAGTTCCGATGGCACGCGCGACGTCATGCTGGGAAAGAACGCACCTGACACGTTCCACTCTTTCAACATCCACAACACCAAACCCCCCAGCTGTTGGTGAATTGCGGTAAATGCGCGACTGATATCTGAGCTTCGCGAAAGAGATTGGAAATACCTTCTTGACGTACGGCACCATGTGCGGTACTCAAGCAACGAGGCATCTATCGCATACGCTGTCCCCGCACTCTCCTCTCTCGCTACCACTCTGCTGTAACATCTCACTCAAGTCTTAGCAAATTCGCTGTTTCGATTCACATCGGGTAAATGTCAATGGTCTGTAACGCTCAGCCAGTCGCGACCGGTTGTTCTCATCAGAGCCAGAGAACGCGGTGCCCAGGTGGTAATCTGATGCTTCGCAGCAACAGCTTTCTATGAAACCCCTTTAAAACGCTGATCATCTTTGTTCAGAGCTCCCGCCAATACTCTCGTGGCTTCTGTACTCTCTGCGAAAAGGTTGGTAGCGTCTTCCTTACAAAGCTACTCTCTTCTACACAAGGTCAATCGCGATGAGACCGTTGATCAGCTCGCAAATATGACTTTGTAACTTGTCAAAGTCTTCTTCGTGAGAACCTTGTTACAAGCGGAAAGTATCTATTGAGCAATAATAATTATGACAAAGTGTGTCATACTCGCTGTCTCTGCTCTCTCTTTGCTGACCAACGAACAGGCAGTAACCCGGTGATGACTTAAGCCGGAGGACCTGCATGAGCCTGGCTAGTTGGACATCTCCGCATCGGATACCATTGATTCGACCATACCACGAAGCTGCCATATCGTCTCACCAAGTACTGCGCAAAGACATTGTTCCTCAAGGCACCATCATGAAAAGCCTTCCCATGTCCTATAAACACAGGCGAAGAGTCGGCGAAGTTCACCAGACTCTGGGGCTAGCATTGGGCAGATGAGCGGGGAAGGCCTCAGAGCCTCGGGCGTCTTACGGACGTTAGACAACGGCGATGGACCGGATACACTGCCGAACGCTTGTTGCTGATGTCTCCTTAGGCAAGTACTAGAAGAGAGCGAACAGCATGCCAAGCCTTGGTGCTGTTTACACTTTGTAGTATTTGAAATCGGTGTACGTTGTGTGGCGAGTGAAAGTGAGTCTTTCCAGCGTGCGAGATTTGTATGGCGGCGAGGCTGACGGCACTTTTAAGGCTTGTGCGCATCAAATTGTCCAGACTATGGATGTTAACGAAGCTTCTCGTCGCACATTTTGAGCCTTGTTTCTCGCCTGATGCTGTTACGTTCGTTGTCCTATAGGGAAACAAGGTTGGACAAAGATTTTCTCTATGTAAGTCGGTCATACGGCATTACAACAATAACGACAGCACCACGACGCAAAAAAATTCCACAAATGGACTAGATATCGGGTGGTCGACGCAAGACAAATGACTGATGAACAGTAAGCAGGAGTACTGATTGGTAGCATCGTCTTCGGTAGTTGGGCGGCAACTGAGGGCTATCCGGTACACTTTCCCCTGGGAACTACCTAGGTAGGACTACTAATTACTAATTATCTAGAGAAGACGCCGAGGCCATGTAAGGGTCGCCGGCGCAGAGTGCTGTTGCTAGGACTATCAGCCAATAGCATGGTTCTCGTATGTCAGAAGTGCCAGTCGTGGATCCTTCCAAACACCATCTGGGCAATTGATGGATGATCTGGACTACGGATTGAACGAGACCCGGGGTAGTTTCCGCTAGCGTCGCGCTAAAATCCGATTTCGTCGAGCTTATCTTTACAATTGCGCTGGACGCCACGCCACTCCGTCATTTTGATCAGATTCACACGGTGCCTGCCGTCTATAGCGCATGTGGCCAGTGGGTCAAACGGACTTGCGTCGTGCAGTCTATCCACACTTTGACAGGCAGTTCGCGGAGTATCACCGGGTCTGTCCGCCAAGTGCCACTTTGGCGTGCCAACAATGGATGTTTACTTCATCGAAAAAGAACTAAAGTCATCTCCAGGCTCCGGACAAGCGGGCGGTAATAACAAAAAAGAAGTTGGCTAGGGGCATGTTGTGGATGGCATCCATCATCGCTGAGTTGCACCGCGTGGGAACTACCCGATGTAGCAAACTGAGTTGTTTCCCATCGGATGATGCATCCTCCAGTTCATTTCGCGTCAAGAAGGCTTCTGTAACCCACGTCAAGAGAAATCGAAAACTGTAGGAGACTACTAGAGGATCTTCGCAACTTCACTTACACTCCCCGCAACAGTCATGACTCGCCATGGTGCTACTCTAACTTGGATCTATCCCCAGTCGCCTCTCAAGAGAACACCGCAAGTTCCCAGAACCTCTTTGTCTAAGGCCGTTTCACTACTACATCGGGATAACTAGGCAAACAAGAGGATCTCGAAGGGCACTCTGTCATTCCTGAACTTCTTTCGCAGCCAACTCATGGTCTGACTATACTGCTGATCACGGAATGGCATCCGTTGTCCCTCAATAGCGTATTACCGCTCGTAGCTCCAGTCTTGGCGACCATACCCCAGCCATGTGAGCCTTGCAGATCGACGTGGGCGATTACTGTCTTGGGGCGGTTCTACGACTACCCCGGACAATGGATTATGGTCGCCACCGCGACTGTTGGCTGCACACTGACAAAGTAGGCCATGTACTAGCGGATCAACCATGAGGAGAAACTCGAATTTGTTCGAGACCGAAGACACCGGCTAGGAGGAGCGTTGGGAGTGACCCTTAACTCCACAGTGGGGAACTTACGCTAGTCTGCAGCCGTGGATGCAAAGAAATATAAGATAGACGAGATCTGCTCACTATCATCAGCATCCACCCTTCATCACTGCATTACACAATGTTTGCGAAGACATCCCTCGTGCTTCTTACCGGGCCAGCTCTGCTGGTCTCAGCTTTCCCCGAGATAGCTCGTATGGTCGCTGAGAAGCGCATCCAAGAGCGTCAAACAACGCCACAAATTATCGAATTCCCAGAATACCCAGGCACGCCCAACCACGCCCTCTTCAACCAATTCGACCCTGTCCTCCAACTCGTCAACACATCTGGCGAGCACGAGTGGCGCGCCCCAGGCAAAGGAGACATCCGCGGTCCTTGTGCCGGCCTCAACGCCGCCGCAAATCACGGCTACATCCAGCGCGACGGTGTTGTCGATGCAGCAAGCATCAACACCGGTCTTTGGCAAGCTTTCGGCCTCGACAAGACAGCCACCATATTCCTCGAGACCGCAACGGCCTTCTTCAACGGCGACCCCATCTCCGGCCGCTGGAGCATCGGTCCCCATTCAGACAAAACCAGTTCTCTTCCTCCACTGGTTGGTGACCTCCTTGGCAACGAGACAGGAATCTGCGCATACGGCCATCTAAGAAGTGAGGGCGATGCCAGTATCACCCGTGGCGATTGGCTCGCACCTGAGATGAACTCCAACTGCCGCTCCTACCCTCAATACATGCAAGAGCTCTTTGACCTCTCCAACCAGCGCGCAGGAGGTCTCATCACACCCCGCGTCCTCGCCGAGCACTCCAACAACCGCAAAAAGCACAGCATCGCCACCAACCCATTCTATTTCAGTCCCGCGTACGCTGGTGTTGCATTCACCTTTGGCGCACACATGTTCGCGTACCACTTGCTTGCGAACCACAGCGCTGAGGCTCCCCGTGGATTCCTGACGCAAGATGTATTCATGGACTTCTTCAGCTACAAGCGCGACGCCAGCGGTGCGTTGACATACAAGTACGGCTATGAGCGCATCCCAGACAACTGGTACAAGCGCCACCCGCTCGACCCATGGACCCTTGCAGACATTGGTGTCTCGACCGCACAGCAATGTGCCGCATACCCGTTGAACTGCCAGGTCGGTGGTAACACGGGCGCCGTAAACAGTTTCTCGGGCGTCAACCTGGGTGACATTACTGGTGGCTTTATCAACTTCGCAGAAGACTTGAACGACCCCAAGAAGATGGGCTGCTTCATCGCGCAGGCTGTGCAGGCGGACACCCCGTCTTTCTTGAGCAAGCTTCTTGGAGGTGCTGCTCTGACTGCTGCTTTGGCTGCTGTTGACAGTCGTCTTGGGCCGGCGCTGCAGCCACTTAAGGATCTAGGCGGCGGATGCCAGGGCGTCCCGGCGGGCAGGAGTATGTTCGACTATGGCATCAACTTCCCCGGTGCCACTCTCGAGACCGAGGGCCCAAGGTCTGGACAATAGAATTGGTCTGTGGTGTCAGGTGTGGGTAGCTGATAGATAAAAGTATTAGCTGTATCGAAATAAATATCCTGTAGTTCTATACTACTCTGAGTTATGCAAGTGAAAAATCTGAGGCGTAATAGCGAGACTGCTTTTAGCATAGGAGTGGGTAGCATCTGCTTCCACGCTTCTTTTGATCTGTTGAAGACACTCGTCTCACATAGCGGTTGAAGTGTCGACAGACTGTGTCGTAAAGTTACCTAAAAGTAAAATGCGGTCCTGTCTCAACAATGATCCAGATCAGACCCGCGATACGTGCGCAATCGAGAGAAGATGTGAGCAGAAAGGAGGTACCGCGCGCCCGCCAGAACTCGAGATTCTAGACCCACACCCTCCCCATTCCCATTGGCCCTCCGCGGCTCCTTGAACGGCCTAGCCCCGCACTAGCTAGGGCTAGTGCGGCGGCATCGCTGAACCCTGAATCCCCATCCCAACTTCCTCAAAACTCCCCTTCCGAGTCGTCCCACCCCTGCTAACGCCCTCCCATATCCAGAGATAGCAAAAGCCTCCCCCAATCATGCCTTCTGCAGCCGATATTCTTAGCGATCCTGAAATCGCGCAAGCATACGAAGACGTGCGCTCTGACAAATCCGAGACCACGTGGCTTATCTTGAAGGTACATCCGATAATGCGCCCGAAGGGTTTCGTTCACCGAGACGTGATCGAAGGCGTCAAGCAAGAAAATGTGAGAGATCTGAAGGCTGACCATCCTCAGTATGCATCCGCGACTTCAGATAACCTCAAACTCGCCGGCACAGGAAGCGGCGACATTGCCGAGATGACGGAGAGTCTTGGCGACGACGAAGCAGCATACGCCTACGTACGTATGAAGCTAGGAAACGATGAGTACAGCGAACGCGTCAAGTTTGCTTTTGTTGTTTGGCAAGGTCTGTCATGTCTCCTTACCTCGATGTCCATGTTCTGAGACATTCCTAGGACCCCAAACAAAGGTGATGCGCAAAGCCAAGATGAGCTTCCAGAGTGGGCAGGTCAAGCAGGTCATCCGGACTTATGCTGTGGAGATCCAGACAGGGGATAAGAAGGATTTGGAGGAAGAGGCAGTGACGATGAAGCTTAGGAAAGCTATGGGTGCGAATTGTGAGTATACGTTTTGCTACTTGTGTTGATGGAGGAGCCGTGCGATATTGGTACAAGACCAGAACATGATGAATAAGGATGTGTGTACTAATCGTTTGGACAGATGATCGCCAGAAAACAAACTACTAGAGTATCCGATGCCATACGGTAACAAATTAATCCTACTCCACAAGTCGACCTAGGGAGTCATATTGTGGTACCACATTGCCTTCGATGCCTTGCGTCTTGCACAATCCCAAAAGCTGCTCTCTAGGCTCGTCCCCAAGCCAGTACCCCGTAAACAACTGGGTTCCCACGTCATATGTCAATTTCCTTAGCCGCGGTGTTGCGGCCTTCCACTCCGGCTCTCGATCTTGTACCCATTTGCAAGAGTCACCCTCGTGAGAGACAACTACACTCGAGGCTAGTATTTGACCCGCAAGGTATTGTCGGAAGATGGCCATGGCGTTGAGATCTTCAAAGCGCATTCCGAGTGCCTCATATGCAGAAAGGTCATTCGTGATTGTCAACGTTTCGAGCGTCGGAGGGAGATGTTTTGCTAGCTTTGGCGTATTATTCATACCAAACAGCACAGGGAATGACGTAGTCAAAGTGGTGAGAACGGGAAAATCGTGTAGTGGGCCTAGACCCTCTCTTAGAGGTTCCGCGGCTTCGGTTGGGGGGTCATCGCTACCATCGTTGTTATAGTGCTTGTAACGGACAGTCAGATCGCTAAGCGTGTCGCGAATACGCAGTAGTGTTTCCTTTAAGATCGACAAACGGAGAGGTGGGTGTTCTGGATGCAAACAACAATCGTAGTAGAAGACCTTGACGTTGGGCGTCTGCCTGAGCAGATACTGGATAGTAAGAGGGTCCATCGAAGAGGGAGTAAGGCGGAGAGTCGTCAGTGTCTGCGATAGAGGAGGTGTCTCTAGTGGCCACTCGAATGAGCCGTCCACTCCATCCCCCTCGTCCCATAGTCCGCCATAGTCATCATAGTCGCCCTCTCTCAATGAGCACGTGACAAGGTCGAGCGACTCTATCGCCGGCAGATAGAAAAAGTGAAGTAGAGTCTCTTGGTGACTCCAGAAACTACTCTCCCACGTTGCGTCCGCCCCCTCTGTCTCTTCCAAGGTAACGCACACAGTTTTCAACTTTGCGAACCATGCAGGCTGTCCAACACCTGCCTCAGACGCCGCAGCATTCTTCAAGATAGCGTACTTCATCATAGCAGGAAACCACCTATTATTCAAAAATAATTCCCACCCTATCGTCAGAAACTCCAAGTGCGCTTGACACATGCCGATGAGCAGTGTGATCAACATGTGCTGCGCCTCTTGTTTCCAGCTACGGCCCCACGTCTGGAACCCTTCCTCTTTTACATGAGCCTTGAACATCTCATTCTCCCACTCTTTGCCACTCGTATCATACTCAAAGTCTGGAAAAATAGCGCCGGCAACGTCCAAGTAGCTGTACTCAACACATCCCTTGGCGCATAATTCCAATTTCTTGATCAGCTGGATGTATTCGGGCTTCTTGGTGAGCGTGCGGATCAGAGAGTGTAGTTTAGGCGCTTTCTCATGTCTATGCCCCCTACCCCGCTGCGTTCCTTTTGGCTTTTCCTTTACATAGTTGTTGTCCCACGTGAGGGTGATGGTGTGGTACGCTGCCGGTATGGCGACGGCGTGGAGGGGCTTGCATGTTTGGGCTAAGCTAATGATGTCGCGGGAACCGAGATCGGCCAGTATGAAGTCGAGTAGTTCAGCAGGAAGCTCGGTGATTGATGCCATTCTGGTCTCTTCGAGAAAGAGTGAGGGCGAGGTATAGGCGTGAAGGAAGACGGAAGGTGCAGCCTCGGATATAGGGAATTAGGCAGCCGTGTCAGTGCGCGACTTCCAAAACGGGTCGCCTTGTTGACTCGCATAGTACGCTATCGTCATTCATGACCGTGAGATCGTGTATCTATATCCTATGTGCGCCTGCATCTTGCGAGATTTCTATAACGAAGATTTGTTCATATGCGGAAACACATGCCCTAGTCCACCACCTGGGTCCGTTTTCGTCTCGCTAGGACTCGCCCTTGACGCCGCATCGACTGTTGGCTGCAACTCGGTCGGAGAGTCGTCTTTGTCCTTGTCATCCTCCTGCTTCCTTGCTAGCTTGTTATCGACGTGGTTCTCAAGCCATTCGTGTTCCGCTTGGTTCAGCCTCAAACTCTCTTCCACGTCGCGCGTGAGCTTGTCGACCTCGTCTTCCAACAACTCGTCGTGGCTCTTCTTGACTGTTTCTTTGGGTGCCACGGGTGCCTCAACAGGCGCGGTTGTTGCCCAGAGCGCTTCCAGCTCGTCTGTCCACCCGCATGCCTCTGCCAACTTTCTCACACCACTATCGCAATCCTCTAGCAGCAAAACATCGTCTGGTCGTGTTCCCATATCGCCAACCCTCTCTGAGTTTATAAGCAGTCGCGGGGTCTCGTCTTCGCAGAGCTGCGGTAGCGAAGAGAACGGGGCTACGCTGAGCGATGTGCCCATGACTATGCACAGGTCGGCTTGCGCTGGGAGGCTTCGATTGTCGAAGAATGCGGATGGCAATTGTTCTCCGAAGAACACGATTTCTGGCTTGACGAGTCCGTCACATAACGAGTCGACGCAGCGCGGCACCGATTTGTTCTGGATGGCTTCGTTCATACGCTCCTTTGGGTATGACTTCTTGCAGTCGATGCAACATTGCCTGTACCGAATCAGTATTGCTTGAAGCATGTAGAGGAGGGCCTAATCACGTCGCGAAACTGCCATGAGCCTCTATTATCTTATCGCCGGGGACTCCAGCCTCGCGCTCCAGGCAGTCAATGTTCTGTGTGAACAGCTTCAGTAGCAGCCCTTTCTGGTAGAGCAAACTTATGAAGGAATGTGTTATCGTCGGCCTGAACTTCCCGGGGTATAGTTCTTGGGCGAGAGAGTAGAACGGCTCGGGCGTCTTGCGGAAGAAATCGATGTCGAAGACGGCTTCGGGGTAAGGCAGATTCAGGCGAGCGAGATTGGCGTATAGACCGGTTTCTGGTGATCTGAAGTCTGGTATGCCTGCGGAAGTACTTATGCCCGCACCTGTCTTCCCAATGTCAGCACGCGCCTACCATGCCAACGCGCTGGAACTCACCATGACGACAATCTTCTTCGCACGCCCATCCTTGATGTATTGCGCCAGAGCCTCCAAGGTACGCGCCGATAAGGTCTGAGGTGGCGCATTTGGGTCTACAACCCGTGACTCGTCCTGCCCCATCCTGCCTCTTTTGCCTTTGTCCTTTCGACCTTTTTCAGCGTTGCGCCACGGCTTGTTCTGCTGCGCCTGTTGGCGGTGCGCTTTATGTTTGCGTCCTATTTTGAAGGATGTGAATGTGCGATTGTAATAACAGAGACGAGAAGAACGTGTGACTGTGATGGATAAGGCTGTGGGACGTATGACAGGCGCGTATTGCATGCCATGGTGGACGCCAGTGCCCCACGGAAATTATATCTCGGGAGTCCGGCGGAGGTGCTGCGTCATGGTCATGTAACCCCAGCGACGCCTCCTCACCAAATGCTCCCACCAACACCACACACCTCACGACTCACGGTGCCACGCAATTTGTTGAAACATTGCTAGTCGAATCTAATATCTCGATATATGTAAGCTACTTGAAACACGGCCCCAACTGATACAGGCACTCTTCATTGGGACAAGTCCCTGTAACCTCCTCTCCTGAGCAACTCACGTTCGCCACGACTTCCTTCCCATCAATCGCGTCTTTCACGTCCTGTAACCGGTCGTCTTGCGCGCTTTTCTCGACAGTCTCTCGAATGGCCATGCAATCGAATTTCCCCTGGTCTGTTATACCTGTGAACTTGACCACGACCTTCATATGTGCGACTTCTTTCCCTTCTCCGTCCTTGACGCTCACTCGAACGTACTCGGGCGCGTTACACCACCTCAGTATCTTCTTCCTCGCATTGAAGGAAAGGCAAAATTTTGGGTTGCAGCCGGGGCAAATCGTAGACTCCTGGTCGAACTTGTAACAATTCTTCTCATCCTCGCCACTCTTCTGGAAAGTATCTGCGATCTGAGCGATGAAGGCGTTCTGTAGCGACTTTCCGTTGTACTTGATCCCTCCTTCGTTTTTACCCGGGATATAGTCACTCTCAACGTTGACTTCAACGAAGTTCGTTTTCTTTTCCACGAAGCCATCTTTGTCAGGGTACTCTATGTTGTCAAATTTGTCTTTCTTGGTTTTGCAGGTATTAGCGCCAGTTTTGTCGTCGTCGCAGCGGTTCTTGAGCGTATCAGTCAGGCCTTCGGATATATAGCGACCGTACCATTGGCCGACGTGTTGGCGTTGGTTACTTATCTCGATTGAGAAGGTGTACGGTTGAGGACCTGAAGTGGGACTCGGGGTGGGAGAGGGTAAGGTCGCCAATGTAGTACTAGGAAAAGATGTTGATGTGCTGACTACACCGGACATAGAGATGAGGGTCGAGGAGGTAGTGGAAGTACTGTTTGACCAGCCTGACGAAGAGCTGGTAAGGACAGTCGGAGAAGTTGGAGTCGGCTCTTGCGTTGGGCTCGTAAAAGATGAGGTCGCTGTGACGATACTTGATACTGGTGGTGGGCTGTATGTTACCCAGGTTGGTGGTTTGCTCGCTGGTAAGTCAGTTCAGCACTACGCATTGATCTTATGAACAGCACTAACTTGCGCCTTTAGTTCCTCCCGCGCTTCCGACGAGCAACGAAAAGCATGCTACGCCAGCGTAGTACTTCATCTTTGCAGTGGTCGAAGTTCGCATCATGGATTACTCAACTTCGAGGGTTGCGAAGATGCTGTGATGTGTCTTGAGAAGATATAGCGACCTGTCAGTTCAATGTCGCAACCCGTCAAGTTCGTTACGTGAAGTTGGTGGTCAGGAATGTATCGCTTGCTGCTCATCCATTCCATCATCGCGAAATCGTTATTCAATGCCTCAGCGTCACGGATTTCATGCTGTAGAGTCTGCATGGATGGATGGTTACGTCAATCTTCATCGGAGGGTGGAGCTACCCCATTATCGCAAAAGCTAGAACGAGTCTATCTGATAGACTTATTCATATTCGAACGCCTCTGAAGCCTTCCGAGGTTGTCGTCACCCAGCTCAACCTGTGGGCATGACGAAGATACGACGAAGAGATATACTCAAGTGCCCTTTCCCCCCTTGCTTAGGTACACTCGCAGAAACAAATCCTGCTAGGATGAGATCCGAAGGGTCAGAAGGGAATGGCCCTTCCGAGATCGCCGCGCGTCGAGTCATGGACACTACGCCCCGCCACTAGCTACACCACCGACCAAACTCTCGCACAAGTACAACAGCTATAACAAAACACCGCATCCTATAACGTCGGGGCGTACTACAACAATGCGTTACAGCCAATATTTCTCCAAGTTGGAAGTTTTTGGGGCCATCATTGCTTGAATATTGGTAAGGGTTATGATTTATGACCTCCGCGCCTCACCGCTAGGTACATAAGCGCCCTAAAGCTATACCGGAAAAGGACTTCCTTTCTCCATCGTGGGAACGGTCCGAAGCACTGCGAGGTGGTTCCAATAGGCTCGGAGGTTTGGCACGTCGGCTGTCCCACTGAAACCGCGTACTAGTCGGCAGTTATGCTGGTCACTTCAGTTCCTTTCGTTTGTGGTTGCGTTGCTCAAGGATCATTGTATACGATTCTCGACCGACCAATTCTCTACAACACTTCATCCTACCAGCAAGTACTCACAAATCAGTTACCATGTCTCTCAAGGACAAAGTCATCGTCATCACCGGAGCTGCGTCAGGCATGGGCCTCGAAACCGCCCGCCTGTTCGCCAGCAATGGCGCCAAACTCTCGCTCGCCGACGTACAAGAGAAGCCATTGAAAGAGCTCGAGTGCGAACTTCAGAAATCAGGTTCGCAAGTCATGACCCAGGTCGTCGACGTGAGCAGGCGTGGCGACGTCGAAAGCTGGATTGCAGCCACAGTCGAAAAGTTCGGGAATCTGGATGGTGCAGCCAACCTCGCAGGTGTAACTGGCCGACAAGGCGCCGTCGCCGGCATTGAAGAGGTAGAAGACGACGACTGGGACTTCGTCATGGCTGTGAATGTTACTGGGTTGAGAAACTGTTTGCGCGCTCAGGTGCCGCATATGAATGAGGGCAGTTCAATCGTCAACGCGGCCAGTATCCTGGGTATCATTGGCGCACCCAAACAGTTGGCGTATTGCGCTTCCAAGCATGCTGTGGTCGGGATGACGAGAAGCGCAGCGAAAGAGCTCGGACCGAAGAAGATTAGGGTCAATTGCTTCTGTCCGTAAGTCGACATATCGGAAATTCTTTCATATATATCGCCATGCTGACTAGCTGCAGGGGACCAGTCGATACTCCAATGTTGAGAAAGGCATATGAGATTCGAGGCGCGCCAGTCGATTACTCATTCCTTCCGCTGGGAAGGGAAGCACATCAAACGGAGATTCCGCCGCTTATCGAGTTTCTCATTTCGGACGCGTCGTCGTTCATGACTGGAACTGCCACGCCGATTGATGGTGGGTGGTATTGCTAGATCTAGCGGAGTATGTGGAGGCATACCTAGGTATCGAAAGGAAACAGGCCATGACACATAAACATGAATCTTAACATCTAGCATTCCAGCTACAGAACTATCAGCAATATCTTTATCCTAGAACCCATGACCATAGCGCCCATGATCTACTTCCCAATATGCAGTCGTTCCAGATACCGGGTGCATCGTAGAGCATGTCTTCTGCGGTGCTCAAGAGCTTTTGGCATGTCGATGCTAGACTTTAAAAATCGGGCTGGCGAAGGTAATGGGTAACGGAAAGCAGGAGCTCGGATGGTAGACCCTCGAGATTCGGCATCATTCCCGAAGTATCGTTGCCAGAGTTTGGTGCCTTGGTATCGAATGGCGAAGCGGATAGGGTTGATGGTAGCTAGGCATTATGGGTCATTCCCGATTTGTTTATCTCGGGCGAGCGAGAGCCCTTTTGTTAGCGCTGGAGCCTGGTTGGCCCTCACTAATGCACGGACCGATCATTGTGCGACCAGCTTTGCCTTCCATTACTTATACTTGGTGAGTGACGTGCGGACATTTAGTTAGCCGCTGCTTCTTTACTCGACCCCCGTCGTGTCAACTCATCGTGTACCTCCGCGCTCAGCTACCGAAACGCAGATTACAAACTCTCCACACCATGTATCCTCCAGGCCTCTCGCGCCTCGAAATCTTACCCAACGAGCTCAAACTCCTTATCATTAACCACATCGATACCCGCAGCCAGGCCTCTCTAGCATGCGTGTCGAAAACCGTCCAACCTGTCGTCGAAGACGTGCTCTACAAATCGGTCTGGATTGAGGCGCCGAAGGCTCAGAAAGCCAAATACCCTATTGCGAACTTCGTACGAACGATCCTATGGCGTCCTGACTTAGCGCGCATAGTCGAGCAGCTCGATCTAGATGCCAGTAGATTCTCAATCTACACCGAGCTTGACAACCTCGAGAGAATTCTTTTGCCCAACACGACTACAGCGATGAAGATAAAAGCGATATTAAACGAAGCCGATCTTGTCAGAATTGTACTCCTCAAGTTGCCTTCCGTTAAACGAATGTTTATCAACACACTACAATTGCAGAACGAGCGAGGACTTAGCGGAGCACATAGTTGTGTCCGCCTATGGAAATATTCCGTTAACAATCCCGAAAGTATGCCAGCGTTTGCGAACCTAACAACACTTCACTGGACAGAGAGTTTTCTACCCTTCCGTCTGACATGTCTTCCACAGCTTCAGACGCTCTTCGTGAGCCGGGATTGTTCCTTCGGATCTCCGGGAGACATCACCGACACTCCCAACATTACATCACTTACGATACAGTGCTTTGTCGCTATGATACTACCAGATGACATGGAATCATTCTGGGTATCTTGTAATAAGAACAAGGGCGCAATGTTTGAAGTCCTTGAGCGTTGTATCTTCCTTACCGACTTGAGCATCGCATTCTATCGCCACACAGAGGAGTACCGTCTCCTATCCGGAACGCGCCCTGGAAGCCTCTCGAATTTCGTCAGTAAACTACACGACAGCCTTCCTGGACTCGAGAGCTTGTCTATTGGACCACAATGTCAGATCGGTTATAGATTCCTACGACATATTGAGCCAATCAATAGCCTCAAAGACTTTGTTAAGTTGCAGCATCTCAGATTAGCGCACCAAATGCTACCCGGTTGCAATGAAACACACTTTCCAGGCAACTTAGCAGTGCTTCGACAACTACTTCCCGCTTCTATCAAAACTATCGAGATTGATCTCCCCACGAGCGATTTCTTCAGGCTACTCGACCAATTCCTTCAAGAGGACCACGGATTACGTCGCATGAAAAATATTGTAGTGCGATGCGCCATCAAGAGCCATGCTTTAGTTTTCCCTCTATTAATTGCTCCCGAAATCATCCTCCAGAAATGGAATCGCTCACCGATTATTCAAAATTTGTCGGCTTCCAAGTTGACGCCAAGGTTGGAGTGCATGAAAGCCGACTATAGTAGCGGCTTTTCATGTTATTCTAAAACTTGTCATCAGTGTAGAGATATGGAAGGATGGGAAGACGTATACGAGACGTCATCCGCGAACCTGGCTGCATTTATAGCGTCGCTACCTGGCAGTTCAGTCCTTGACGTGAGTAAATTTAACCTTGATATAGCCGAACTTTGCTAACGGAACATACAGCTGCCAGCAAGCACGCTGTCATTGAAGTCCTCCTAAGCTTTAGTGTATCTTCACAAGCCCGGAGCTAGTTGTTCGGAAGATCCTGATAGATGACGAGGAGGCGGTTATGGGCAGTGATAGACGGCCATGTGGCTGGGAGAGCGCTCTCAGGATCTGTCTTTTCTGACTCTTCTCCATTATTATCGTACAATACTATCTCCTAACCCCAGCCATCTTCTTCACCAACGAATCAGACATGAGCCTCACGCCCTGGGCTCCTTCCCACCAATCTGGTCACTCTCCCGCACGAAACCCCCCTTCCCCTGCCCAGGCCGAATAACATGTCCCTGATTCTCCTGCTCAGCCGCCCACTTCTTCAGCGTATCCAACCCCACACTCTTCAATGCGCTCTCATGCGTCGACTCAAGTTTAACCTTAGGCACCTCACCAATCCCCTTATCCGCAGCGCTCTTCCACGACGAAGCTTCGAGGCAATATCTTTGACCTGGCCCTACACCGGCTTTTCGCAGATCGGTACCGTTCGAGGAGGAGAAGTCTAGGAAGCTGTTGGTGAGGATCGCGGCGATGGGGTTGCTGCTTG